TAACGGAACCAAGCATAACCTACTTAGGCCAACCTATCACTGACCGATTAGTACTAGCATGCAAGTCTACAAGATCATACAACAGGCATACAAAGGCATCTCTCCTAGCATTCTATCATGCAGAAACTGAGCAGATCCTTAGCCCTAACTAGCATGTGATTCACAGATTAAAGCATATCAAATAACATGTATGTGTATTTTGGGAAAACTTACTTGCGCTCGGCTGATTGCATGCACCATACCCTTTCTTATTTTAGAAAACATTTTCTTAAAATATGTTTCTTTTTGAAAACATTACCAAATCCTTGGTTTGAATTCAGACACTCCCGAAAGTGTGCCCGAATCCCTCAAACCAAGGCTTTGATACCAACTTGTAACATCCCAAAAATATGAACCAAATTTTTTTAATTTTTAGGTTTTAAATAAACAATATTCCAGAGCATTGTTCATACATCCCAGAAAATAAGTATATCAAATATCATGAAAATCAGAGTGTGTCCCAATAGTAATATCCATATAGTGTGTGTCATGCAGTCAATCCGAGCTCTTCCCCTTAGAACCGGAAATACCTGAAACATAAGCTAAAAACCGTAAGCACAAAGCTTAGTGAGTTCCCCAAAATACCACATATCATACATACCAATAAACATATAATGGGCCCCGCCCTGTCTTCAGGCCCCGCCTGGCATTGGACCCCTTCCGGCATCGGGCCCCGCCCGGTATCGATCCCCGCTCGGTAATAGATCGGGCCCCGCCCAGCATACATATAACATATATCAATTAACAACAAGCACATGCAATAATCACAAAGATACATAGCATACAAGTGGTCATTGGGCTCCATCTGGCATCAGACCCTAGCCCGGTAAGCATATAAACACATAATACATGCAAGAGTCACGTAGACAACTAGCATACTAACATAGCATAAACATGGGCCGGCATTGGTGCCTTCGACCCAATAAAATCAGTGAGGAAACTCACCTCGAAAAGTTGAATGAAACGAATGATCCCTAACTGCTCGTCCTACATCTCCCCGAGCTATCAATTACCAAATAAAACCAATTAACAATTGGGATCAAAATCATAACAAAAAATCCCTACTTGGGGTAAAAGACCATTTTACCCCTAACCTAGCTTGGTCCAAGAATGAAGCCCGTAACCACAATCCAATGGGCCGAAAAGTCAGACAATCGATCAAGGCCCAAATATGGCCCAATCTCCAATTGCTCCCAAATCCCTTCTCATGGGCCCTAGCTCAAGGCCCAATAATGCTCCTGGCCCAAAAACTCCTAAAATCAGATGGTCCAACTAACCCATATCCTTCTAAGACCAAAACGAGGCCCAACCCTAAAGCCCAACATTGAATGGCCACCTGAATGAGTACGCGGGGGCGTACTTAGCTTGTACGCTAAGCGTACTGGCTTGAGGGCTTGTACGCCCAGCGTACAGGCTTGTACGCCCAACGTACTCGACCAAATCATCCACCTTCTACTTTAAGCATTTAACTCGTTAAGACTTCACCCCAGAGTGTAGATCTAACCTCCTTAAGCTAAAATATCATGTAAAGTTGCTAACTTTACGTCCATGCATGACTATAAGAAGCTATAAAGCTAAAAAAGGACTTAATAAAAGACTTAATGAATGCATGAGGCCCCTAAACTCCATACAGTTGGCACCTTTATGCCTAAGGAGCCCATGAAGACCTTACATCTGAAAGAATAAGCCTTTGGGACGTCCTAATCCCAACATCCAACCAAACCATGGCTAAAAACATAACTATTTAACCCAAAAAGAGATCTAAGTATCTAGCAACCAAGATAAGAACTTGATACCTCAAACTTCTTGCAAAATGGGTAGTGGTTTGGATCCAAGACTTCCTTCTCCAAGCTTAGCAACTTCAAGATCTTCTAACTCCTTCACAATGAACAAAATGAACACCAAGCTCTCTTCAAAGGCTCAAATGCTTGACAATGGAGGCTACGACTTGTTTTAGGGTTTTGGAGGCTTTGGGTGCTGGTAAATAGACCAACCCAAAAGATAATTAGTCTTAAATAGGGTACTACACCCCCAATTTGGGTTTCATTAAAGTCTACGTACACCCAGCATACGCATGCGTACGCCCATCGTATGTGACCTAAGTCTCGTCTCGCCACCAACCCAGTACGCTAAGCGTACCAAGTGGTACGCCCTGCGTACTGGCTTCTCAACTAATACGCTAAGCGTACCAAGTGGTATGCCCCGCGTACTACTTCAGGGACCAAAATGAAATTATTGAATACTCAAGGGTCATAACGCACATACCAGAGCACAAGTGTTACAATATATATATATATATATATATATATTATATATATATATATATATATATATATATATATATATTAGTGTTTTTGTTACCTAACATATATATTATGATTCTTTGATGCCCATTTGATAGCATGTTGTATATATTTTATAAAACTATAGTAACAACACTTATACTTGATTATAAATTATGTTCCATACACAAATGTATGTAGCTACACACGAATTTAGAATTTAAAGGCTATTTCCATCGTTAAAATCTACATCAACTAAATTGGATATATATATTATTCCCGGAATGTATTACCAATAATATAAACTATATTGAGGTCGATTGTTTAAAGTTTCATGATAAATTTGGTGTAATTACTTGGGTTTTACAAAACCGGCTCATCGTTGGAATAGGTTAGCATTCAAAATGAGTTGGGATGGAAATGATAAGTCTTTGAATTCTAAAATAGGCAACAATTAAGCATAACACCACTTAAACATGCTTAATAACATTAATGTATGGTACAATAGGTCTAATTTATACTAACGATCACGATGATTGATTGTCAATAGTTGACCTAATTTTCCAATTGTTACACTATTGATTGCAATATGAGTGGTTGTGGGAATTGAAAAGAAATGGTGGATAAATTAATTTACGCTAAATTATCTAATGGGAAAGCGTGTTCTCTGTCTCTCTGTCGGTGGTTGGCTTTCTCTTATAAAAGTTGTGTTCAGGAATTTGCCTATGTATTATATGCCCATTTTCAAAATGTCTATTACGATGCAACGAAAACTAGAGTACATGCAGAATAGTTTCTTCTTTGGTGGTGATTGAAGGACCGGAAAATGACTTAGGTCAAATAGCTAGGATAAGTGCTTGGCTAATAAGAATTTGGATGGTCTTGGAATTTGTAATATTTTTTTTCTTTGGATAGATCACGTCTATTTAAATGGGTATGGCATTTCCATTGTAACCCGAAAGCTAAGTAGGTTAAAGTAGTGTAGATGATTTATGGTATTGATGGCTATGTTGGTGCAGATAGTCTACCTATTACGATCTATAGGCTATATCCCCTGGGTTTCTATTCGAAAATCATGGTGTTGATTTCTTGTATGTGTGTACTCGTAAGCTGGGGAATGGTGAACTTGTTTCCTTTTGGGATAACATTTGGTATGGTGATCCGACTAGATGGAATCGGGTGGTCCCATAAAAGTTGAAGTTTTTTTTATGGAGGTTTGCATTCAATAAAATTCTCTATCGGAATTTGGATATGAGAGGTATTCATATTGACTCGGTGTTGTGTCCCATTTGTGGGTCTGATGTGGAGACTGTCAACTTTATTGTTTTACCTATTTCATGGCTTCATTGTTATGGAGTTTATTAGCTACCTGGTGGGATATCTATCTTCCTGTTTTGTCTAGTTTTTCATATTATTCAAGCTGAATGGCTTCTCTAGGGTTGCGTTTGATGCTAGACTTTGCTTGGATGCAGTGGGAGCCGTGACTATGTGGACAATTTGGATTCATAGGAATCAATTGCTTTTTAGTCTTAAGAAGCTTCATAATGAAGCTTTATGGGATTCATTGTTTCGCAATCGTTTCTTTGGATTACTACTAGGAAGCCTAAATTTTGTTTTTAGTTGGATATGTTGGTTATAAAATACTATTATAGCAATTTTCTTTTTGTATTTTTCTAGCTCTTTGCTAGTTTATAAAATTGTGTCATTCTATAAAAATCTCAAATTAATCATTTCTGATTTGGCTATATAACATGTAATTTTTCTCATTTAAAACAATATATTATTCAAAAAATTTCTCTACACCCTTAAAATCGAAATGTTTAGCTTGACCGTTTTCCATCTAAATGACATTGTTTATGACTTTGTATCATAAGTTACTTCGTTTTGGCTATGTTTCATAACTTTTAGTTAGATTACATTAAAAAAACTACTTAAGTATTTTTGAAATTTCAAATATGTTCTTTGAATTTTGTAAATGTTATTCCGATTTCCTTTAATAAAGGGGTGAATCTCTAGCTTCTCACTAGTTTTTCATTTTATAGAATTTTCTTGCTTTTTCAAAAAAATGTTATTGAAATTTCAGAATACTTTCTTTCGAGTTCGAAATCCAATTTTTTTTTTTTTTTTTTTTTTATAAAAAATACTTTTGATATAATATAAAATTGTCTAAAGCAAGTCTATAAACTAATATTTCTAATATGTCGTTTTTTGTAATTGTCTCTGTAAAGTGTTCTATCCTAAAAAAAAAAGTCGTAGTAGCTTACACGAAACAAATATAAATATTGAATAGTATCTAGCAACATTATATCATATACACTTTTAATAATTCATGAGGTCGGTTCATAATGTCTCGTACATATGAGATATCCATGAAAACTCTTAATCATGGCATGGTTAATCACTTAATTCTACTCTAAATTGATCGCTTCGTATTTACTTGGCTTGATCCCGCAATATGATAATAACAACTATCCTCTACAAAATCTAAATCTAAAATTAGGTAACCAAACATGAAATAAGGTAAACAACCAACCCACATCTTCCTTTTAGTAGATATATTTTAACTATTAATGCAAAATAGAGTATTATAACGACCGTTTATAATATTAATCGGCCATATCTATACAAATGAAATTCAATAGAAATCAGAGAAATGACATAAACAATCAAAAATTAATTCTAGAATGACCCATTACTCAATAGCACGGCTTCTTCTTGTAAATCATTCAAAATAGCCACCACTTGAACAATCAAAGGCCTGTTCTTCCTAGAGTTGCCCACACAAGCACTGGCCACTTTAGCCAATCTAACAAGAGGCTTAATGTCACTAGGAACCATTAATCTTGGGTCTAAAAGCTCACCCATTTTCATTTCTTTAATCAATGGCAAACCCCACTTTACAATCAACCCCCCTTCACTTCTCCTACCACTCAACAACTCTAACAAAACCACCCCTAAACCGTACACATCACTTTCTTTAGAACCACCCCTTGGTTCAAGCCAATATTCTTGATCCACATACCCCACAATCCCTTCTTTCTCATTGGGTGCTAAAAAAGATAGACCATAATCACAAATCTTGGCACTAAACTTCACATCTATTAAGATATTTGAAGGCTTGACACAACCATGCACTATAGATGGTGCCACCAATTCATGCAAATACTCTAATCCACGAGCCACACCGGCTGCAACTCTTAACCGTCTACCCCAGTCCAATAACGATGCACCATCAAGGTTTTGATGGAGGTAGAAGTCCAAACTCATCATGCCCATGAACTCCATTACAACGATTCTTTCTCCAGGACCTTCAGAAAACCCTAATATGGATAACACATTAGGGTGATTAGCTAAAGATAGCCATTTTAAAATGGAAGAAAACCCTAACCCTGAACCACAATTTCTTAGAACAAAACGAGGGTGGATTCGTTTGACTGCGACTAATTCACCTCCTGCTAACACTGCTGCGTAAACAGTTCCTAACCTGCCTTTACCAATGATTCTTCTTTCGTTGAATCCATCTGTGGCAACATCGATTTCTACTAACGTGTATGGTGATGCGCAAAGCTTGATGGAAGGACTTTCTTCATCGGATCTTTGATTGTGGACTGTCTCATTTGAGTTTGCGTTCTTCTTGTTCTTCCATATGATGAAGATAACTAAGAGGATGAAGACGAAGATGGCTAATGAAAGAAGGGCTAGAACTAGGTAGTATGCGATACTTTCACCATGCCTCATGTTAAAGACCAAATTAGTTATGACGCTTTCTAAACTCTTTGTTGCTGATACAGAGATTGGATATTCTGTTGAAATTTCTTGTGGTTTGATGAGGGAGAGGTACAAGATGGATGAGAAAAGTCAAGCCGACCAATTGAAAAATTTAAATTAAGATGTTAGATAGGAGATGGGTTATATGAGAGAGAGAAGTTGCAAACGGGTTAATATTGGTCAAGTCATAGTTGGCAACACCTCTTTGAGACTTTGACCACCATTAAGTAGTCAAATATACTTATAAGCTTATAAGTCAAAGAAGTTTTTATTTGTATGTTGTCATCTATGTTTTAATAAAAAAATAGTTTTATTTTCTTTTTGACATTTGTACTCTTAATTAATATATATTTTATTATCTTTTTGCTATTGCTATGTGTCATCCTATTATGTCTCCTAATGAATGCATGTCACTTGTCAACCTATTGATTCTTTATTTTAAATTTCAAATTTTAAATTTCTCACTCAATTATATTAAATTAATAACATTAGAATAAAAGTTAAAATGAAATTAATACAAATTATAAAATGATATAATTTCACATATTTATTTAAATCAATGATTATAATTATATATAACTAAAAAAAATAATTAATAATTTATTTAAAATAATTGATTAATAATTTTGAGTTTTTACTATAAAAATTTAACTAATTTTGTAACCGTGGTTTCCACGGGTTATAAACTACTATCTATATAAAAATTAGAGATATCAAATATCCTTCTATTTTTTTATAAGATCTTACTACACATTTATGATTATGATATTTATTATATTTCACAAAATTAATAATTTTTATTATACTTGTAATCATCGAAAAATAGTAAGAAAATAGACAAGTAGAAAAAATAAAAAAATATTTAATTTCTCTTAAAATTATAATTCAAACATAATAATAAAAAATAATTGCCTAGACGATAAGTTTTAAATTTTAGAATTAATCCATAACTATTTTAATTTGTTCACAAGTTGGCTTTGTATTGTTTTTATGTATAACTAATGGAAATGCACTGTGCAATTGGCGAACGTTCGATACTAATTTCAAAATTTAGATTACCTCTTAGAAATGGGTGGAAAAGCTGGGAATCAAGCAAAAAAAAATACAGATTTGTAAGCTAACTTTCGTACCATGTTGTTGATTTTCTCCAAGGATAGGAATCAAAAAAAGGGTGCTACCATGGTGGATGAAATCTTCAGCTCATTCCGGTGTACGAATTTTGCAACCACACTAAGCAATGATGTTCATGAAATGGGTCGATTGAGAGGTGAATAATTTTAGAAGTTAGAAAAGCAAGAAACTTTACAAAATCAAATAAACTACAACAGTTTGCTTTTTAATACATAGCAACAATCAAAATTCAACATTAAAACCGACTGCAATAATGGAGGTTCTGAAGTGATAGTTAAGCAAAGATAAACTTTCATAAGTTGAAGTAGTACATCGATACCGGAAGTCTAATATGCAGAACTACATCGCTTGTATGCATAAGGACATATAAGTACATAGGTACTAAAAAGTGAAACTAGATTTCCATTTAGCCTTATTATGGTTTTTTCCAACTCTAGGACCAAATATATAACAATAAACATTGTGTAAAGGGTATTATAGTCAAAACATAAAGAACAAATTTTGAGCATTTCTGTCCCACCTGAACCATTAGAACATTACCACCCTAATCTTCTGGTGGTAGACCATTTACAGAAAGCTCCTGCATCACTTGGATTACCTGGTCTGCAACTTCTTCCTTTTCAATCTTATCAATCTAAAATATTAACAAAATTTAAGCTACATTAGCTCATGTTTAGGGGTATCAAGAAAAAACACATGCTCTGCATTCCTAGGAATAGCTTATATGGATTGAAGTGAAAACCACTTGTTAACCACAAGAACTTCTAATGCATCCTCTAAGTTCTTATAAATTAGAAATGTAATCCCCAAAAATCGGATTCAAAATTGTTAATATTAGTATTTCAATCTAGCTATATAATCTTTTCCATTAACATTTTGTAACATTATCCTTCCAAAGCGAAATAATCATACCCTTTTATAATTGTAACATCCCGAAAATCATAGAAAATCATAGGGTAAAATTTTCATTTTTATAATAACCAAAACATTCATTAACCTTTATTCAAAGATTTAGAAGTATTTTTAAAATAAAACAATTATCAGAGTTCATTCCCAAAACCATGAGTTGCGGAAAAGCACGGGTGTATGCGCTGCGATCGAGTCGGGCCCTTCCCTTTTCGAACTGAAAGTACCTGAAACCATAAACCACAAATTGTAAGCACAAAGCTTAGTGAGTTCCCTAAATACCACATACCATACATGTCATGCGAGCCATACATGTCATACATATTCAGTCAATCAATAAAAGTGCTATGTGCCAACCATAGTCTTGCCATTATGCGACGAGCCGCCTCATGGTCTTCCTTGCCAGGCAGGGGGCCAAACCTTGCGTCTTACATACAGGTGCCAGGAGCCACCTCCTGGTCTTCCATGCAATCATAACAAAGACAACTAGCATACAATCTACAGCTACTTAACTTATAATTGCCAGAGTTCAGACTCTGGTCTTGCATACAGATTGCCTGGAGCCGCCTCCGGGTTTTTCTACGATACATAAACCAAATGGGCCGACATTGGTACCTTCCACCCATAGAACAGTGAGGAGACTCACCTCGAATGCTGAAGCTCACTGAAAGAAACCCATAGTTGCTGCCCTGACGACTCCCCGAGCTATCAATACAAAATAACACCCAATTAAAAATGGGGTTCATTCTAAGGCCCATATCTATACTTGGGGTAAAATGACCATTTTACCCCTGACCCAACATGAGCCAAAACTGAGGCCCAAGCCCAAGACTAAAAAGGCCGAAAACCAATAGATCCATAAAGGCCCACTAATGGCCTAATTTTCGAAATTGGGCCCAACCCCCATATGGGCCTTATCCTAAGCCCAAAAATGCAAACCCAATAAATTACTTCCAACTTTAATGAAAAACCCCACTTCACGAAATAAGCCCAAACTCAGCCCAATGATGCGAGGCCCAAAAACACAAAAACACAAAAAGCCCAAAGCCCACGCCGATCGTGGGGCGTACGCTTAGCTACGATGGGCGTACTCGATGAAGCCTGGTCGCGACTTCAACTTGGTATGCTGGGCGTATGGCCAGTTACGCGGGGTGTAACCTGGCTTAATCCAAACTCGGCTTTCTGGCGTAACCACTTAAGCCCTTTGCACCCAAACTACAGAGGACCTTAAAATAAAGCTCTTAATGCATAAAGTCGGCACCTTTATGCATTTGCATGACTCAGTGGGACCCAACAACCATCTTAGTCCATTAAGACCCATTCTAATCCAACTAGAACATGCATGGACCATTCCTAAATATCAAGCAAGCATTTTTATGAACTAACATCATCAGAAAAGGCATGATCTATCACTCCAAGCTCGTGGAGTGGCTCAAACTCACAAGGAGAACTTAATACACCATAAAAACCCTTAATCTTACCCTAAAATCAAACTAGAGTAGGAGGAAGTCAAGATAAAAACTTTTTACCTCCTGAAGCTTCCCACGAGGTTGAAGATTCTGGATCTATAACCCAAAGGCTACACCAAGCTTGATCACCAAGATCCACTTCCTTGAAATAACACTTAGAATCCTTCAAAATAACCTCCAAGCTCAAGAAGGCGCCACCAAGGGGATTAAGGTTCGAAATGGGGCTCAAATAAAATGGAGGTTGAGAAATGAAAGAGCCTTGAGCTCATAAGGATGTTTAAATGGTGCCCAAACCCTAAAAATTAGGGTTTGGTGCTCTGCTCATTACACTAGGCGTACCCCTAGCTTACGCTGGGCGTACTCATCCAGGCACGTGCCCTCCTTACCATGCACACATGGGACTAGCTTGCCAACTCTTTCCACCAAGGGCCATTTTTCCATTATTCCAAACTACTCTAACTTCCTCATCTTAGATCCGTTTCCAACGAACCTTATATCCACGGAAAGGTGGCGAGAAACCCTACGCTTCTAACAACACACCATAGCCTTAAAACTTCCCTAACAAAACCCAAAATCCATACAAGACCGAGTAATCAAATTACAATTATACCCTTGGATTCCTAAGACACCATCGAACACTTGGATGACTTAAACCAGGACACACACATCCGAAAAGACCAAAACCTTTTTTCCCCAAGGCCCTAAGCATCAAGACAACTGAAGATTGGGACACAGCCCCGAATAATGAAGCAAATCCGAAACCGAGCGTTACAACTCTCCCCCACTTAAATTAGATTTTGTCCTCGAAATGCTCCTTACTAACACTCAGATCATACCAAACAACCCGAGGAACGCAACCGAAAATTCTGAGCATAAAACGACCTTCCAAAGACAACCAAACACGACTCAAACAGAAACTTCCAACCCGCAGAAGAACAAATCCTTAAATCCTAAAGAAAACCACTTCCACCTTTCTGAAACCTAAAATCTACATTGGTCCGACTCCCCGACAGACCGCCCATGCTGAAACATCACCAAACCTAGTCCTCCTCAAATAACAGACTAAACGAAACACCTCCAACCCTGATTGTTTTGATGCGACCAAAGAAACAAAGTCACTGACCATAAACAAATGCAGGACACTTATACTTAATAGGAGACTCAGATAGTCCTTCAAGTAGAAGATCTCCCTGCAACGGCTAGACTCAAACGAGAGTTGCACAACAGGGTCAAACAAATTACTCTCAGATTATTTATTCCTACAGCAAGTGACTTAGCATTTCCTGATCAATAATGTAACACCTGTTCCTGGTTTTGAGGTCATTTATAATTTATAAGGGTTTTGTGCATGGACTCGGCGAGTTGGGAGTCCAACTCGTCGAGTAGGGTCGTGTATCTTGGACGCGGGTCGAAAGTGACTCGGCGAGTCGGAAGGCTCGACTCGGCGAGTCTGAGCTGTTTAAT